GAAAGCTGCAGTTGGACCGGGTCGCCCAGCCTCACCTCGGTCTGCGTTGCGTGAAGGTTTACCGTCGGCTGTCCAACGTGGGGCGGCAGCGTCGGCTCCGGCGTGGGAGTGGGAGTGGGCGTCGGGGTTGATGTCGGGGGAACTTGCGGCGCCACGACGTCCAGCCTGAGCGTTTCCGAGTCTCCGTCGTGGGTCGTATCCAGATTGTTCCCGAAATACCATTCCATTCTGCCTTCGATGTTGAAAGATCCCGGCTGCTGCGCGACAGCCGTGATTAGGAAGTCCTTGTTCTCTCCCGTTGACACTTTGTATAGGCCCACGCACTGGACCGAGCATTCCTCACCTATTCCGCCCTCACCGCTCACCAGCAGTCCCGACGGCAATTGCAGAACAAGCTGCAAGGTCATCTCCGGTTTGATTATCGAATTGGCCACCGACAGGGTTAGTGCTACCGGCTCACCCACCAAGACTTCGGTTTGTGACGCGTGGAAGTTCACCGTGGGCTGACCAATGGGCGTTGTGGGCTTCGGCGTTGGTGTGGGCCCATTCCCTGGGGTCGCTGTCCCCGGTTCCTGCGTGGAACCCGCCTCTAAAGTTGGCCTGGAAGTGGGAGGCGGTGTGTATTCCGAGCAGAATGGCAGCGAAAGGTTGACCTGGGGAATGTCGGTGCTGGAACTCTGCACGTATTTGAGATCGTCGGGTATGCAGCCCTCCAGACCGGAATTATTAATGAGAAGCGTCTCAATGCTGCCTTTGAGCTTGCCAAGAGAGGTGGGAATACTCCCGGTGAGCTTGTTGCCCGACAGGTTCAGGTAGACCAGGTTTGCCAGGTTTCCAATCTCCTCCGGAATTTCGCCCGTCAGACCGTTGTTGCTGAGATCCAAGTGTGTCAGGCTGGTCAGCTTGCCCAGCTCCGCCGGAATCTGCCCTCCCAGTTGGTTGCTTCCCAGGTTCAGGTGGGTCAGGTTGACGAGGTTTCCAAGTTCCGCCGGAATGTTTCCTGTGAGCTGGTTATCGTACCTGCCCTTCCCTCCCCGCAATTCCAGGCGCGTAAGCCCGGACAAGCTGCCCAAGACAGGGGGGATCTTGCCACTCAGCCTGTTGCTGCTGAGCCGCAGCTCGGTTACACCGCCTTTGCCTGTGCTAACTCCGTGCCAGGTGTTGAGGGTCTCTCGGCTGAGCCAGTTGGTCTGGTATCGCCAGTTGACTCCCTGTGTCGCGTAGTACAGGTCAAACAGGATCTGCCTGTTTGTGGTCGCTTGGGTTGAGTACGACGTTTCACTCGCTGTGAGGGTCAGGGCGTTGGCGCCGCCCACCTCGGATGTAACCCTTTCGGCTGCCACCAGTTCACCGATGGTGAAGCTCACCTCTAGCCCAGCTACCGTTACCTGGAGGTCGAAGAATCTCCCGGTATCGTCCACCGCCACCGAGTCGACTGCCACCCCGTCCACCACCGCCGACACCACCGTGCCCATCGGTGCCGGATTCCCGTCTATTGTTGCGGTTCCATTAAACGAATGAGGTGGTGTGTCCTGCTGGGCTGCCGCCTCTGATTTCAAGGATGAAACCGCAATCATCGTGACCACGGCAACGAGTGTCACGATTGACATAGGAGTTACGCAGTTGGATGGAGAGTGTACTTGGGATAAGCCAGGTAATCTCGTAAGGCCGAGCGGATGATGTTGGCTTTGGACTCGTACCAGGAGACTCCGGCGCTCAAGCGGTGGGCTTCCAGCCGCAGGAAGGCTTGGAGGGACAGGCGGATGTGATTCCGCTGTCCCTCTGCCGTACGCACTTGGCATTTCTCCACGCCACAACATTGTTTGAGGCCCCGATGGTACGTTTCGATTCCCCAGGCTTGGCGCGCCAGGCTTTCCCGTTGTTGCTCCGTCATTTCCAGGTCATTGGTGGCCCAGTGTTCCACGTCCCCGTCTTTGGAGACCGTCCGAAACACCCGGATAAACCCATAGCCTCGCAGATGCACCTGCCGGCCTTCCTGGGGTATGGCCACGGTGGCCAAGGGCAAGTTCCCCGCTCCCTCGGGATTCACCCGCCGGTTGGACCGCAATTGGCTCAGCCAGAACCATCCCTTATCCCTGATGGCTTTCAAATTCTCCAGGCTGGTATACCAACTGTCGAACAGCACCCAACGGGGCTGAAAGCCCCGCCCTTCCGCCACCTCCAGCATCCGCCGGAAGTGGTCGTTCTTGGTCAGTCCGCTTAGGGGACGGTCATAGACCCGGAAATCGCAGGGTATCAGCGCATTGCCATCAGTCCACAACAAGGTCAGCAGGTTGATGCCCCATACCACTCGCTTATGCTTGCCGCTCCAATGCCGGGACACCAGTTCCATCCGCTTGGCGTAGGGCTTGTCCAGGGTGGTGTCGTCCAGCACCAGCACCCCCTCCTCCCGTCGCACCAATCCCCGGGTTTCCTGCCACAGCGCCTCCGTGCCGGGGGGCTGTCTCCGCAGCAGACGGGTGAATGCGTCATGGGCTGGAGCTTGCGGTGATTCCGGTTGACACCGCGCCGCTTCGCTGCAGGTAAATCTCTTCTGGGCTGCCACCAAGAACTGAATGTAGTCCACCGCATCACACTTGGCTGGGTTCATCTCCCCCACCTCCGCCTCACTCCTTCTATCTTATCCCATCCCCGGCCATAGCTCTCTCAAACTGCGTAACTCCTATGTCAGTAAAATCCGTTTTGCTATGAGGTGCACCCGTTCCGCTCCCTGCATTTCCAGATGAATGGCCGCCTGCCGGGGTGTTGAGGCCCAGGTAGGCAGAGTGGTTACGAATTAGGAAAACTAGGAGCCCCGACGACCTCGTATCACCATCATTCCTGCCAGTCCTAGCAGCGGGGAGGGCCAGCAGCGCCCCGTCTCCCGCTCCGTTTAGTACGGAATTGGATGGGCTCAGGCTGCAGCTGACGCTGGGGTCTCCATTGTCAGAGTCGCCCGAAGACCCCGAGCTCGGTTGTGAGCCTGCGGCAGCAGCCTCTCCTGGAATTTGTCCAAGATTTGTGGGCGCGGAACTTAAAGGGTTTGGCGAAGCGTAGTTCACTGTGAATGAGTGCGTGAGAGAAATCGGGTTGTAGAGGTCCTTGTTTCCCTCAGGCCAGTATGCCCCGCTGAACTGGATGGGCAGGCGCCCCACCTTGTCCGCTTTCACGTTCAGGTAGACCGTGATGCTTTGACCCGGAGGCACCCTGTAGGTCCCGCTGGCAGTCCCTGCGGCAGAGTCCGTGGCGAATCCCTCGCCATAGACGTGTAGCCCGCTTGCCAGGCTTACTGTCAGGTCAACCACCATCGCTGTTTCATTCAAGTTGGGGTTTCTGAAGATAATCTCGACTATGCCATCGTTGTCTTGGTCGATGATATCGCTTACGGGCCGCAGGCGCACCGTCGGTCCAACTCGGAAGGCGGACTGGATGCTGGACGGAGTGGGCCCAGGCGTACTGGTCGAAGGGATGTTCTGGTTCTGCCCGCCGCGGGTCGCGTTCAGGTCTAGGTTCGTTAAACTTGCCGCCTGCGTGGTGGCTGTTTCCGACGCAGGCAGACCGTCGACAGTGAACGTCACGAGGATGCCAGACGTGGGGACTTGGAGATTGTCATACCGTCCCGATGCGTCCACTGATACTGACGCAATTTCAGTCCCGCCGGAATACACGGAAACAACCGTGCCCTGCGGTGCTGGCTGATTGTCGATTACTGCATTCCCCGAGAACACGTGGGGCGGTTGTCCCTGCGCCGTTCCGGAGGCGTGGACTGAATTGGAAGTACCCAACGCCAGGCCGCCGATGGCAAAAACGGCCATCGCTAAAATAACAAAGAGCGCGACGCCGCGCCCTGTCTGCAATGTGAACTTTGAGTCCGAGGGCCTGATTGAATTCATAATACCGTCCTGTGTGTTCTATCGATTATCTCCTGTAGTTGCAATCGTCCAGAACGTAGCCTGGCTGCAGTACATCTGGCTATCCTGCATACACCGATAGCTTGCAGATTGCCTGTGGGATGGGTCATGTGGAGCAATCGAATGAAACGAAAAGTGGGTGATGAAGAGGCTGCCGTCCGAGGTCTGATACACTGCCACACCACTTCACCGATACCACCGCGGTCCATGTAATTGCCCGAATGTTTGAGAACGTACTTGCTACTCCCATGATAATGTAGTATCAGTAGTATCAATTGAATTTCCAATTGAGATGCGTTTCGCTCGATCTTAGTGCGCGGATGTACGCATATACCAAGAGTCCCGTATCCAGATCGGAGCGGCTGAAAGCATCTTCCAATGACCCGCAAAGGGCTGGAATCGGAAAAGCCATCTCACCTGAACAGCTTGATCACAGGCGATCGTTTCGAGCCAACCGTTTTACGACATGTAGAGGCAGGTATCAAACCCGCCCCTGCCACACTTCTGAGTGATGTTCCAACACCGGTCCACCTGATGCGGAGCGATTCCCCCTCACTCCAAACCCTTGACCGCGTCCTCTCTCCGTATTGTCCTTGTTTATGCGTGATGGAATATATGTTCAGTATCGATGACCCAGATCCCGGTCAGAGGACTGGCCTTCCCATCTCGTCCTCTCGCGGGAAACAGCGAAACTTCCGGAAATTTCCGGAGAATTGAAAAATTTCTGGCCCCAGGGCCACAACAGGAATACTAAGCAATGACATTCGCCTAGCTCAGGAGACAGGTCGACGCCCTGATGCGCAAGTATTCCAACGAGCTCGAAGTCTACCGCGCCCGGCCCTTTCCCTCGAACTCAGCGACGAGATGGTCGACGCCGTCACACCCGGCAGGCCCAATTCCAAGTTGAGCTGCAGCAAGTGGGCCCGGATTCTCTTCGACAAGCTGCGCCAGCGCGTGATCCGACCCCGGACCCCTGTTTGGCTCGCCACGTACATGGAAGACTGCGGGGGAAAGCTGATGCTCCCCCAGACCAACGATGTATTGCGGGCACTGTTCCCCAAGGCCAGGAGCGGAGTCTGATCTATCGCTCCCACATCAAGGTCTCCTTCCGGCCAAGGAAAGAATGGAAACCCAATATGGATTACTTTATCCAGGTCTTGGCCGACAATGCCATGGCCGCTGAGGCCAGGTGCTTGCTGGACGGAAATGCAACCCAACCACCTGATTCGGACCGCAGTGGTACCGCACACGGTTTGTTGAAAAAGCCCGTTGCGTCATTGACAATAGGCCATTGCGATTCCGCAATCAGGTCGGAACGTGTCTGGTAAGACGCAGGAGGCGGTTTCTTGTCGCCAGTAGGAATTATTGCCAATCCAGCGGCGAGTAAGGATATTCGCCGTCTTGTCGCCCAGGGGAGGGTGGTGCCCGACTGGGAGAAGGTCAACATCGTCCGCAGGGCCATGCTTGGCCTCCAGTCGGTTGGCGTCGACCGCGTGCTGGCGATGCCCGACAGTTCCCACCTCGTCCAACGGGCAGCCGATGACCCTCACCTGTCCGTCGAAGTTGAGTTGTTGCGCATGTCCGCCCTCTACAACGAGGGCGACACCGTCCGCGCGGCTGCCGCGATGTCGGAGTTGGGCGTCGGGTGTGTCATCACCCTCGGCGGCGACGGTACCAATCGCGCCGTTGCCAGGGGCGCCCGCGACCTCCCGCTTGTCGCCATCTCCACTGGCACCAACAACGTGTTCCCCGTGATGGTCGAAGGCACGATCGCAGGCATGGCCGCCGGTCTGGTGGCTAACGGCAGTGTGCCCCTGGAGACCGCCTCGGTGCAGAGCAAGACCATCGCCGTCATCATCGATGGAGAGGATAGGGACATCGCCCTGGTTTGACGTGGCCCTCTCCAAGGAGCGGTTCGTCGCCACTCGCGCCATCTGGGATATGAACACAATCTACGAGGTATTCCTCACTCGCGCCGAACCGTCCTCCATCGGCCTCTCTTCCATCGGTGCGAGGCTTGAGGCCGTGTCGATGTCCGATGCTGGAGGACTGCATTACCGCATCGCCGAAGGCGGAATCTCGGACGACGGCGCCCCGGTCAGGCACGGCGACGGCTACCTCAGCGTTCGCGCCCCCATCGCGCCCGGATCGGTGCCTGCCGTCGGCATCGAGTCGTGGCAGCGCATCGCTGAGGGCCAGCGTGTCACCATCGAACGTCGGCATTCCACCGTGGCCTTGGATGGCGAACGCTCCTTCTCTGTGAACCCAAGCAACCTTCTGGAAATCGAGGTGCGGCGCGACGGGCCGCCGGTCATCAACGTTGACGCCGCCCTGCGGTACGCGGCCGCATCGGGCGTGTTCCACGTTTAGCGCCCTTCGTTCCGGGCCGGCTCCGCCCGCAACGCCTCGTCTATCCCGGACTCGCTCCCTCTGACCATGCTCTTCGGCACCGAGCTGACCGGGCCGCTGGAGTTGGCCTTCGCCCTGCTGATCATCACCGGCGCCGCGGTTGTGTTCGGCACTGTTAGCTTTGGGATGGGAGTCGTCGGAACGCCGCCGCTGCTCCTGTTCATCGATGCCAAGACCGCCATCGTGGTCATCAACACTCACACCGCCCTGATATCCTTCCTCGTGCTCCTCACAACCTGGAGGCACCTGGACCTGCGGGTGAGCAAAGGGCTCATCATCGGCGGACTGCTGGGCACGCCGCTGGGCGTGCTGATGCTTAACGTGGCCGAGCCAGGCGCGCTGCGAATCATCATCGGCGGCGTCATTGTGCTACTGGGGCTGCTTAACCTGCGGGAGATCAATCTGCCCTTCGCCACCTTTCCGGGGTCGGGCCTCTTCTTCGGGTTCATCACCTGCCTGGCGGTGACAGCCATCAGTATTGGCGGGATCTTGGCCGCCATATACGCCATCGCGCAGAAATGGCCAGCCCAGACGGTGCGCGCGTCCTTGGCTGCCCTGTTCGTGCTGTCCGGAATCACTCAGGTGGTGCTTTACGCGTCCTCCGGCCTGTACACCGGGAGCACCGCGGTGACGGTCGGGCTGACTGTCCCCGGCGTTCTGGTGGGATTCGGCCTCGCCGCCCTGCTGGTGGGCCGCCTGAACGAAAAGGCCTTCCGCTACGTGGTCGTCGTCCTGGTAATCTTTGGCGGCACCGTGCTGCTCGCCAGGGAACTGCTGGTGTAACCCTCCGTCCACCCCCTGTTTGGCCGCTCGGTGCTTGCTGGCAGGCAAAAGAAACGGGTGGGCCCCAGGCCCACCCCAACTGTTAACATATTGCTCTGACTCTACCCCAGACGCTCGAACGGTGTGGGCATCGGGCCGACTGGCACCTCTATCAAGGACGGGCCGTCGTGGCCGATACACTGGCGCAGTGCGGTCTCCAGGGCCCCAGGCGTCTCCGCCCGAACACCGTTCATGCCGTAAGCCTCGGCCAGCTTCATGAAGTCGGGGTTGTGCAGCTCTGCGCCTATGGTGCGCCCGGTGAAGCGGTTGCGCTGGTCGCGCAGCACGTTGCCGTAGGCGTTGTCGTTGAACACCACCACCACGGCGTTGATGCCATATTGCACCGCCGTCGCCATCTCCTGCGAGTTGTACAGGAAGCCGCCGTCCCCCGACAGCGCCACCACGGCCTTGTCTGGCTGGGCAACCTTGGCGCCCAGCGCCGTTGGGTATGCATAGCCCAGGTTGCCGG